TGCAGGTGCTGCTCTGTGCCGTCTGCTCTTAGCAGACTTAGAATGTTCCTACTTGCAGAAATCCATTAGCACAATCGGTCGCTTTTAAGCAAAAGGGGGCTATCCCGAAAAACGCTGTTTTGCGAAAATCGAAGGTAAAGTTTCTAAACCCTTGCTCAGTTTCTTTAAAAGACAAGGAGAGTTTTCTCTATAGCTAATTATAGGTATATGGCAATGCCCACTTTTGGTGTAGGTCAAGATTTCTGGAAACCCCTGAAATCTGGGTTAGCCCCCTTGTCCTTAAAAGCGACCAATCTTGTGTAAATATTTGCTTTCAGAGCAGACAACCAACGGGAAGTGAAATTGCAAGGATTTAATCAACAAAATCTGCAGTTTTCGTTGTTAAAACAGGCCACATCCTCCACCCTTGCCCATTAAAAAAGATGTTGGTCTTTATACGCTCCATCGACACAGATCATTTAGGAGGTATAGGCTTTGTACCTGCCTGTCTCAAGGCCAACCCGGGCTGAGATAGATACAACATTCCCAATTTAAAATTCTCCCCATGCAAGGATCGAACTCTGGTCTCCAAAGTGCGACGACACAGTGCCTAATCTATTATACGACCCGACGTCAGTGTACAATGCTTTTTAAAAACTAATGAAACAGAAAAAACCCACCCTGAGCATAGCTACCTCTCCTTAATGTAGCATGTATTACTTTCGACGTTGTGCGTTCACTAATGAATTCCGTTGTTGTGTCATTGTATTAAGAACAGTATATGCATCACTTGTGGCATTATGCATTTTTTGTAAGAGGAGAGGTTTGTCTTAACAGTCTTTCAAACCGAAGACGACAAGCGTTCTGAATTCTTTTTAACGCCCAGAATGTCGAGGTGCTCGTGTATGTACCGTAGAGTCCACTTAAACCGAACCCAGCTAATAAAAAAGAAACGGCGGTTAACCCAAATAAAATAAAATCCGTGACTGTTTCTTCTATTCGAGCAATTTCTTTAAGCCGAATAAAAGTGTGGCGGTCCCGTTTATCTCGTTTGAAGCGGACTCCACTTCATATCACCACAATGCCAAGCTATTCAGTACGTATTCTTACATAAATAAACAAAATGCAACTGTACACGACATTTGACTTTGGCTCTACTACACTGATGTCAGGTTCTTATCTTCAAGTTTCTCAAAAAAGAAAACACTGAAAAAATAATTCTTAAAAAAATAGAAAACATAATTTGTTTGAAAATATTTTAAATAAAGTTAGAACATGTAATCTCTTCAATTACAAATCAAACTCATGTAATTATGTTTTGGAGTTGAGAAAAGACCCACTAATTAACTACATCCTTCCATATTTTGGCAAATGTTGTTCTTTTAAAATTGGTAACGACATCTTCCCCTATTGCCTATTTTTAAAAAGTCAGGAACGTTTTTTTTCCTTTTCATTAACAACATTTTGTATAGGAAACGATATCCGTCCTTATATTCCTTTATTTAGACAATTGGTGTTCATGTACTAACGACATCTTTACTTATTTACACAAATATTAATGCAGTTTTATAGCAAACGACATCTATCTTCACATAATACAAATAATGTTTACCTTATACATGTAATGGCATCTTTCATTAATTTAAACAAAAGTTTTAATTAAATAGGAAACTCTAGATCTAGTCGCACACGGTGGAAAATATAAATTTGAGCTTCTCAGAGGTGATGTGGCCAATGGGATGGAAGCCAACGCTCTCAGCAGCTGTCGTGTAGTCCCAGAAGTCGAAGAAGTAGACCTGGATATAGAAAAAGATTTAGAGAAAAAAAACCCAAAAACAACAATAGATAACAGGACAAACAAACACAGAACTAATTTGGTTACATCCCAGAGATACAGATTGCAAGAAAGGGATACAGATAACATGCTTAACCCAATCCGTACGTCGTGTTTTACTATCGTATCCATTCGACGTGGTGATCTCTATGCCACCACTTTCCAAAGTAGAAAATTTTCTCGTTAATCCGATCCGTACGCTTTGCATAAAAGTCTGTCAAAATGATTTTTTTGAGAAATACTGAAAATTTTAAAGAGATCTGCGTGCTAGAAGTATTCTAAAATGTGCAGAATACCACCCCGGGGGTACAAAATGACCCCATGGCGTACGGATAGGATTAATGTGCAAATAACGTAATCACAGATCATATTAACTGTAAAGAGATAAAGACATCATACAAGAAAATAATACAGTACTGATAGCTTGATATAATAAATAACATGATACATATTATGAAACACTCATAGATATTATAAGTTCTTTGAGCTTTCGCTTAAAAATAATGATCTGGTAGAGATAATTTAGAGACAAATTTAATGAACATTTAGAGTTTATGTGACACTCTCATTTAAAGAAGCACGTTTTCTTTTTGTTGACCTCGAGTTGTATGATTGTGGGCGAGCGCGCTGTGTGTGTGTGTGTGTGTGTGTGTGTGTGTGTGTGTGTGTGTGTGTGTGTGTGTGTTT